CAGGGGGGGGGGGGGGGGGGGGGGGGGGACTAGGAGTTATTTTTCCATAATGACTTTACTTTACTTTTTATTATGTTATTTCCTGAGTCCAGAAGTGTAGATCTGTCTGAATAAAGATGTTAGGGGTAGAAAGAAGCTGGGAGAACTGGCACCTCTACCCCCATTGGCAGAGAGGGCAGGGAGGCCATGGGAAGTTGGCTTGGAGAGGGTGCCTTGGTGATTATCTACACAACTCATGGAAAGGCATATTCTGTACCTCATCTACAGCCAACAATTTCTCATCTTCAGTACCATTGGTACCTGGAATGTCTTCAGCTGTTATCACATCTACCACCCCGGGCAATTCAAGGGCCTTGGACAAATCAATTGATCTGAAAAAAAGGAAATATTTAAGAGATAGAAATCAGCAAGCTTTGAGGGTCCCAAACCTGAAGGAGGGATAGAGCATGGTTGGAAATAAAAATATAGAACAACTGGTCCAGCTTAGGCCCTGGTCAGGACGCCCCCTGCTGGGCCGGGGGTAACATTTTCGCTGCTGGGAGGGGAGCTGTCAGATGGGCCAGTGTGCCTGTTGCAAGGGGCCTCCTTAGGAAGCGTAGGATATGCCATTTACCATTCAGTAATGTAGTATTTCAGTATTTTATCACCAGTTGAATATCAGCTCTACTTATTTATTTGAGCCCTGCCTGGGACTGCAGCAGGGAGATGGGGCACTGTGAGGTTAGAATGGAATCAAGAAACCCATAGCTATAATTTTTGTCTTTTCCATGTGGTCATTTCCAGATACTTTCCCTTCCTCCTCTGGGGGCTGGTGACCTTTTCTTTTTCTTTTTTTGTGTGTGATCTTTACTCTTTCTATTTTAGGTCCTTTGGGTTTAGGACATTGCAGAAGAATTGGCACATTTCTCCGAGGAAATCCTCAGTTCCTTGGCTCTTCTGGGAGAGCAGTAAAATGGGAAGGCTCTGTGTGTGTCACTAAAACTCATCATGTGTGTTTAAAAGGCTTTTTGAAAGCTTTTCACTTACTTACATAATTTTTGCATGAGCTCTGGTACTGGTCACCAAGGCCATGAAAAGTTCCTTTTCCACCCTGGGGATGTCATCACAAAACATGGCTTCACCTGTGGCATGTTTGAGACCTGATAGGTGCATGATGGGACGTCCCACCGGATCTTGGAGGGGTTGGCGAGAGTCCACACTCTACAGAGGAAGACAAGAGATGCCCTGGAAAAGCTCAATCTTCAGAAGTGGCCTGGACAATTCTCAACTCGCCTGAATCAGGATTGAGAACACACAGTCACCCTTGGGCAACAAACCCTGGAGTGGGTCCGATAGAGAGCATGACAACGTAATGATGTAACTACACTGGGAAACGGTCATTTCAGTTATGTGGCAATACCTTTGACAGGGCCAACTTTTTGGCAAAATTGTGAAACAGGTGAAGGGGCACCCCCGTTTCTCATTTTGGCATCGTCTTTTTCTAAGCAGTACCCTTGCACCCCTTTCTTCTGGAATTCAGGGGTCTGTCTCCCTGTCCTGCTTTCTGACTTTCCCAGTAATCAACCTGTTCACATGTAAAGGGATCATGATGATGAAGGCTAAAGTGATGTAATTCCTGAGGGTGAGGGACCAAAATCTAAGCCCAAAGCAGGACCTCTGGTGGGGGAGGGGCTAGCAAATGGCCGTGGGGCCCACCCAGATCCAGACTAAGTGCCTTGGCTGCCCTCCAAGGGGCGTAGAAACATCCCTGGGCGTGTAAGGCAATGGAGCAAATGTTGGCTCTGGAGCTCTTCTCCAGGAAGAGCGGTGTGTGGTGTGTGGAGACGGGGTTGGGGGAGGGGTTGTGCTCTAGATAATTGTAGACATTTTCCAAGTTGTCCTGCGAGGAGGGAGGGTTCAGTTACTTGCAGGGCTCTTGTTTTGCAATCAGGGCCGGAGGCTGAACCTTGCTCCTCTCCTGTGCTGTCCTTCCCCCACACCAGGCTCAGCCGCTCTTCAAACCAATGCCCAAAGGACGTCATTGGACAGTGTGAAGAGATCGTCAGTTATTAGATGGCCAAACTGTCCCGGGTCGGTTCAGCCCCAGACAAACCAATTGATCTGCATTGATTTGGTGGCTCAGGCCTGAGCTCAGATCCAGCCTCTCCCTGACTCGGCCTAAACAAAGGGCCAGTGTGCAGCAAAAACACAGCGTCAGGACTAAAATCGCCGCTCTGAACGGCTTGCTTGTTCGCACGGCTACAGCTTATCTCTTGGTGTCTAAGTTTCTGTTAAATTAAACTCACTGACCTGGTACCTCTGGACTCCCTGGGGCACTGTGACCGAGAAATCTTCCAGCGCACTAAGGAAGGGGTCTGAGACGTCAGGATATCGAAGGCTGTCCTGGGCGAAGATTCAAAACAATCCCCATAAACTGATTAGTCCGTGTTTAAGCTGGGCTTTGGTTTATGCAAACATGACTTGGCTACAGTACCCACAAAACTGCACGGTCAGTGTAGGGAGGTAACCCAAATCCCCATCGCCTCCAGGATTTTAGTTTTGATGAAAGCTTTTTGCCCTCCCTCTCTTTCCCTGTAAGGAGGAACTGGACTGACTGGTTTGAAGCTGATCCTCAGGTCACCCTGAGAAGGAAGAGAGGCCTGTCGGTGAGCTGGCCTGCAGAGGGAAAAGCAAGAAAACTGGGGCTACGTAAGCCATCCAGAAGGAGCTGGCGTTCACTGTACACACCAGAGCCCATAGCCTATTGCTTTTCTCAGCTACTCGGCTTTCTGGGAGAGAATTAAAACGGGAGGTCCTCTGTGTGTCACTAAGCACATCAAGTGTCTTAATTCAGAAATTCAATTCCTGGGGAATGTGGCTCATGAGGGTCTGAGTAAATGATAATCGGACACTTTAGGAACGCTGAGCTGCTGGGGTGGAGTTGGGGGGTAGGGGGTATAAGGTAGGCAGAGCGTTGTGATCATAGACAGGAGAGGAGAGAGGGAGGAAGGGAGGGAGGGAGAGAATGTTTTGTTTTGCTTAATTACTCCAGAAATTTACAATCAGAAAATCTAGCAAGAAGTTACTTCAATATTATAGCATGTAAATAAATTTTAGTGTTTTAGAAAAATAAAATTTTATTTTACACTCCATATTGGAGTTGGAATTTGGCTGCCTGAGGGCACGGGTGGGAGGGTTGACAGTAAGGGGACAAAAGGGCACATTTTGGGGAAATGGAAATGCCCTATATCTTGTTTGAGGTGGTGGCTCCGTGGGTTTACACATTGGTCAAAACGCACTGTATTTAAACAGCTGCATTTCATTATGTGTGATTATACTTTCCAAAGTGATATTGAAAGAAAAATAATCGCACACCGAGGCAGGGGCACCATAACCTTTCACTGCGCAGGGCCCGCGGTCAGCATCTGTGGCTTGAAGGCAGCCTGGCGCCCAGAGCCCCAGGGATCTGGGAGGCAGGATGGCTGGGGACTGACTGGCTGGGACCCAGAACAGGCGGCAAGCGATGGCCCAGGCCCCACAGGACAGCTGGCAGAAGTAGTGGGCACGCTGGGAGCTAAAGGCTGCGAGGAGCCTGGGCAAGCGCGAGCACTTACGGGCGCAGAGGGCCGCTCTGCCAGCGGCTTCAGTGTCTGCAGCACTTGCAGGTAGAACTTGAAGAGGAAGCTGAGCACCAGAGTCCTCTTGAACTCCACCCTCCCCCCCGGAGCCGAGCCTGGGAGGGAGACTTCGTCCAGGAGCAGCCGGCAGGCCTCGTCCAGCATCAGCTCGTTCCAGCGCCTGGTGGGATGGAGGCAGCAGGGGACCAGTCAGAGCGTGTGACAGGTGCTCGATGTTGCTTGGTGATCACTTAGAGACTCCGGAGTCCTATTTATTTATTTATTATTATTTTTTGTTAATCCTCACCTGGGGATGGATGGAGATATATATATATATAATTTCAGAGAGGAAAGGAGAGGGAGAGAGAAATTGAAATATCAATGATGAGAGAGGATCATCAATCAGCTGCTTCCTGCAGGCCCCACACTGGGGTTGGGGGGATTGAGCTTGTAACCCTGGCATGTGCCCTGACTGGGAATCGAACTGTGACCACCTAGTTCTGGTTGATAGGTCGATGGTCAACCACTGAGCCACATTGGCTAGGCTGGGGATACTTTTTCCATTGATTTTTTTAGAGACAGTAGAAGAGAGGGAGATAGAAAGAAAGAAAAAAGAAGAAGCAGGAGAGAAAGAGGGAGAGAGAGAGAAAGAAAGAAAGAGAAACATTGAAGTGAGAGAGACACATCAATTGGTTGCCTCCTGCAGGCACCCCAATCTGGCCAGGGATCCAACCTGCAACCCAGGTACATGCCCTTGACCTGGAATGGAACCGGCAACCCTTCAGTGTGGGCTCATGCTCTAACCACTGAGAAAACGGGCCAGGGCTTTATCGAGCTGGAAGGGAGTGTAGAAATCGCCTAACAAGCCCTTCAGGAGAACCGAGGCAAGGAGTGGGCTGAGGGCCACAGCAGGCTGGAACCTGGCATTCAGTAAACAGACCACGAGGGCCAGTTCCACGGTGAACTGGACAAGACTCAGACTCGGACGTGGCTTTCACCGAGGAAGAGGCAGCTGGCACCCGAGCAGAGGGTGCAGGTGCCACGCGGATGCTGCCGGGTGTGCGTTTGCTGGAGTATTGGTGTCACAAGAGACTGGGCTGGAGGAGTCCTCACCATTTCAGTTGTTGTATTCCTCGCCCAAAAAGTGCCACCTACTTAATCATCATCAAGAAAGGTCTGATTCATTTAGCAAAACTATGGAAAGAACAAGCAGTGCCTCTACACAGAGGAGTTTCCATTTTCTCAGGCTTTACCAACACTCGCCTGAGCCAAATTTCCACCTTTTTTTTTTTTTCGCTGCCGGGTGTGCGTTTGCTGGAGTCTTGGTGTCACAAGAGACTGGGCTGGAGGAGTCCTCGCCATTTCAGTTGTTGTATTCCTTGCCCAAAAAGTGCCACCTACTTAATCATCGTCAAGAAAGGTCTGATTCATTTAGCAAAACTGTGGAAAGAACAAGCAGTGCCTCCACACAGAGGAGTTTCCGTTTTCTCAGGCTTTACCAACACTCGCCTGAGCCAAATCTCCACCTTTTTTTTTTTGACGTCGATCCACCCTCGGGCACAGGGCTCACTGCTTACCTCCCTCGGAGCTGCTGGCAGGATTGGCGGGCGCTGACGGTGGCCGCCCCGAGCCCCCCGAAGGCGATGCTCAGGTCCTCGATGGTGTCGGTGCCCTCCTTGAGGAGGACCCGCATGCCCGCGTTCACGTGGGCCCAGGCGTTGTGCTGGCACTGCGCCTGTCGGAAGGCCGACACCACCTCCCCCTGCGGAGGCAAATGCCGTCGGGAGCTGCTCCGTGTGTCAACCTCAGAGCACGTTTCTGCTTCTCGGTGCCACTGATTAATCTCTTGGACCCAACGGAGAGGGACACCAAGGACACTTGGCACCATTTGAGGGCAACTTGGCTGCCTTCTCGTTCAAACTGAGGAGTGTCCTGCGCAAGGCCCCTTCCCCACCCCGCCCGGTCCCCTCCAGGAACGGGGTCACTGCACCCTTTTCCTCTGAGGCCAGGACAGAATGGCTGGCTCCTTTCCATGTGTCATCTTTCCAGGTGCCCTGCCCGGAGTCTTCAGGCCCCGTGTCCCCTGCGAGGATGGAGGACCCTCCTAACACCAGTGCTTTTCTTTTCTTTTAATATATATGTATTTATTTTTTTTACTTTTTATTGGTTTCAGAGAGGGAGAGAGAGGGAGAGAGAGACAGAAACACCAATGATGAGAGAGAATCATGGATCGGCTGCCTCCTGTATGCCCCCAACTGGGGACAGAGCCTGCAACCCAGACATGTGCCCTGACTGGGAATGGAACCGCGCGCGACCTCCTGGTTCATAGGTTGAAGCTCAACCACTGAGCCATGTGGGTCGGGCTCAACACCAGTACTTTTTGATATGATCTGCCCAACATGCAAAAGAGCTCGACCGCATTTCTTGGTTTGCAGAAACCATCACCTTCCATTGTGCAGGGCTCATATGAGAGTCGAAATGAACTTTCCCACGGTGGGCTAGGGAACCCTGTGTCAGGGGCAAGTCAGGAGGGTGATGCTGCCCCGCTGACCTCTCGGCACTGGGACCCTGGTGCGCTGACGTGGGGTCACTGGAGGTGGCCTGAGTCCCCAGTGTGTTTCCAGCTCTGTGGCCCCGAGGGTGCGGTGTTCATCTGCGAGGTTTTCTCCCTGGGGCCTTTACACAGAGGCACATTTGACTGGGAACACATTTCAGAGTTCATTCCACAGGAAACATAAATGGAGGTCATGCATGGCTGACAGCGTGCCTTACTCTAAGACTTCCTGCACAATCCAGCAGACACCTGGCTTCTGATCAGTGAGTGAGTGTGCGTGTGTGTGTGGTTTTGCCTCTCTCTGGGAAGACTGTCCTCTGGGATTCAGACACAGTTGTGGGGAGAGGCACAGGGGACAGAGAGTGAGGACAGAGGCCCCGCCATAGCTGGGGGGTGGCCACATCAACCCCAGGGTGCTGTGCTGGCAGGTGTCTGGAGGCCTCACCTTCTGTGAACTGTGGGGTTGGCTGGAGGGGGAGTTGGAGGCCCGCCCAGCCTCCATGTCCCTGTGGGTCCGACAGAGAAGCTCATTCCCAGCCGGGGAGGTTCCCCTCCCAGAGTCGGTCAGAGAGCAGGAGGAAGCAGGACTGACCGCAGGCCTCAGCAGCCGCACCCACAGCTGAAACAACACCCTACACCCACCCCGGGCTGCCTGCCGAGGGGGCTGAGGCCTGGAGCTGCCGTCTAGGGAACAGGAAGTCATGACTCTGGCAGACATCCTCTCTCCTCTGCTTCAGTGTAAAGACGCTCGGTGCCGAAGAAGGAGAAGCAGCTCCCAGGAGCGGCCGGGCGCGCCTTACCTTTTGAGAGTGAGGGATGTGCACAGATTCCAGAACCTCCTCCGGCCTGAGGTCTGCACTCGCCAACCCGGCAAGAAAGTGCTCGCTTAGCGGAACCTGCCGGGCGCCTCCTGCTGAAGAAGATGACGTTTCTGCACAGGCAACAGGGAGCGCGAGGCGTTCTGTGCGCTTCACTGTCAGCACCAAAGAGGGGTCACCTCGCTCAGCACCAAGTGACGAGGGGCAGAGCGTGTGACAGTCAGGACTCCCCTGTGCCTCCAACGGGGAGGGAGGATGGGGTGGTGGTGGCAGCTTCGGGACATTTACCCATCGCAGCCGGTCTCCTCCCAGCCTGGCCGGGCCTGTGCGGGTTTTCACTGTCCAGCAGAGGCCGGTGAACTCTCTGTGATCAAGGGAAGGGCGCAACCTATGCTGGGACAGGGTTTCTTCGCACGGTGAACAGAGCTCAAACCCCTGGCTTTGCCTTTTGTTCTTGCTGCTGCTCTGGGCTCCTAAGCTGGATACCTACGCTTTTAATGCACAAAACCTCCTTTCAGCCCCATTGCTATCACTGGACGGTCCCGGTCCCCTCTGGCTTTAAAAGGGGGTTTGTGGAGCCACAGGAGGCGCATGGAGGAGATCACCCTGCAGCCTAGAGACCCTGACGGGGTCGTGTTCCTGGCACAAGCAGCACCATGCCAGCTGGAACAGGTGTGGGGAGGAGGCAGGTGCGCCCAGGATCCCCGCTGAGCTCTGGCCCTCCGGGGGCTGGTCAGCGAGTCCAAGGCCTGGCTTCTGGAGCTGGGCTGTGCTCCAGGGCTGCTGCTTCGCAGAGCTGGGAGGACAGAGACCTGAAGCCCGGGTAACGACCAAGCAACAGCCCAGGAGAAGTTACCCTTCCACTCCTGCGGCTGGTGCAGGAGGCCGGCTGCTGCGGGCCCAGCTGTCCTTTCTATCCTGACGCCCCGGAGTCTTGTCTCTTCTCTCCTGGTCTTTGGGGGTCAACTGGGGTCGTCCTGGACCACAGGCCGGAGGACTCAGCCAAAGGGCCGAGGGCTGTCAGGGGTGAAGCCCCTCCATGGGCCCCATGCAAAGCTGATGGGGACCGGAGAGCTGTTCCCCTGCCCCCAAGGCTCTCCCTACACTCTGGGTTCCCACCGATCAGGGATGGGGCCTGGGATAGAACTCCTGGTCTGACACACCCCTGAAGTTCACATGGGGCAGATGTGACTGCTCCCCCTGACCCCCAGTGCCTGGGCCCGTGTCAGCCCATGGAGGGGTAAATAATGGATGGGCTGAGCGGGGTGGACAGCCGGAGTGGGGATGTGATGGGCTGTGCATGAAGGAGGGGAGAAGGGATGGGAGGGGGACGTAGAGGCCCTGGGGAGCCGGCTGAGGGAGAAGAGGCGAGTGCACCCATTTGGCAATCAGACAGGCTGGGTTCCAGGGCGGGTGTCTGTGCATGTGGGGTAGGGCCACCCCATCCACGTGCCTTCCTGCAGGCGCCTGCGCTTCCTGTGCTGCACTGAGAGCCAGGACACGGGCTCCGACTTTAAGAGGAGCCTTTAAAAAAGGACAGAGGACCCTTAGGTGCTGTGGGGAGCGCTCTGGGTCGCTCACCTGCGGATCTCAGATTGAGGGTAGCGTTGCCCACAGCCAGGATTGGGTTCAGATCCGAATAGCAGTGCCGACTGATGATATGTCCCCCTAAGGACTGAGGAGAGAGAGTCACAGCCTGGGCCAGTCCACCCTCATGCCCTCTGCCTGCAGGCACCTGCTTATGTGAAAGGGCCCGGGGGGCGGGGGGGCTCTGTTCACACTGCCTGGGAGGCCATGCGGCCCGGAGAGGAATGGATGGTAACCCACACTCCCGGAGCTTTTGGTGTGGCCACCTGCTGTCCTCCTTTCCACACACATCTACTCATCCTCACAACAGTCCAGTGAGATGGATGTCGTTCCTACAGATTCATTCTACACATGAAGACACTGGGCACAGAGAACTTGTGACGTCTGACCGAGGTTTCCCAGCTCGAAGGGGCCGGAGTGGGACTCAGACCCCAGCAGCGAGGCTCAGTGGCCAGTTCTGAACCCTCCCCCAACCCAGCCGTGGCCACCTTGCAGAATTCACGTGAGCATGCCCAGGTGCGGGGCACCCATACCACTGAGAGTGGGTGCCTTTCCCCCCTTTTGGAAGACTCCACGCAGAGTGGGTTGAGCCTGTATCGTCTCAGAACTTGGGAGGGCACTGACTGGCCATTCAACTCAGTACCCTCCGCCCCTCCTAGTGACAGAGTCCACAGTGACCACCCGCGTGGCTGTGGTTTGGGCGGTAACGCTGGTGAGGGCAGGGAACCCCAGTTCCTCTGTGGACAGCTTGATTTTCAAGTTTTCGCTTCCACTGAGTTGAAATCGGCCTCCTGTCGGTCACACTTCTATCCTTTTGATCAAAGGAAGTGAATCCATCGCCCTCTGGAGCCTATACATATTTGAAAGCAGCTCTGATGGTCCCTCCGACCGTCCCACCCCCACCATCCTCTTCCTGATGCGATGGCCAGCCCCTCTCTCTCCTGCACCATCTCCTTGCCAGGCTCCAGAGCATTGGGGTTCTTGACTGGGATTTCTAAATCACTTGAAGAGCTTTTTCAAAGGAAGCAGGTGCTCCTTCCCCAATTCTCTATGCCCCGAGGGTTTCTGACACACCGTTTGGGGGTATGTGGAGAGGGAGCATGCATTGCTTTCTCCTGTGGTCATAAAGAACCTGACCTTAAACTGTGTTTCCCAGGTCTGAGCCTTACACTCCAGCTGTGGTCGAACAGTCTGGAGCAGAGCAGGCCGTCCTCCTTATTTTAGGCACCGTCCTTCCGTTAATGCAGCCTTAGGCGAAATTGGGTTCTTTGACAGTCTTCTCATAAAATCAGCAAAACACAAAGTCCTTTTCCTACCCACCATGCAACTAGGCTATTTGACTCAAGCTGACTTAGAACCCTCCTTTACATGTTATTACGTAATGTTTGTTAACTGTCCCATATCTGTTCATCGTGCCTGTCATTTCGCCTGCTGAGACCCTTCTGCAGACAGGTTCTGCCAATGCCGATTTCAGCATTTCAGTGGGATTGAGCAGAGGTGCCGTGTGCCCGATGGCGAGGCCGGAGGACTTACCGCCATGTTCCGGATCTGCTGGCCCGCCAGGCTCTTCAGGTGGTTCAGCAGGGCTCGGTAGGTCTGCGTTTTCTCCTCTGGGAGCTCGGACACCCTCTCAGCCAAGATGTCCTTCACCTGGGCCAGGCTGCAGCCGGCGCCTATGGTGAGTCCTGGAAAGCAAGTTGTTTTCTTTCACAGGGGACCTGGGAGGAGCCGCTGAATGGTCAGCATG